AACCAACACCCGATACAGGTAGGTTTTCATTTTTGGGCTCAGCTCTTCATTACTATAAAGGGAGAAGAATAGAATAAGCATAATTGATGAAATTACAGGATATCCCCTAGTTTTTTTGTTTTTTTACTACATGTGCATTGTAGATTCAAAAGTATTTCTCACATAACATTTGGTTTCTAAACAATCCAGAGTTTTGTATGTATACATGATAATTACTTTATGATACAAGTTAGTTTCTTTGGATACATTTCATGATGATGGGAATTCAAAAGTATTTTGCATTATTTTAGTAAAGGAAAAATACATTATGTTTTTAATTTATATTTCAAATACTTTCACAACAACAAAACCAACAGCCGATAAAGGTAGGTTTTCATTTTTGGGCTCAGCTCTTCATTATTATAAAGGGAGAAGAGAAGAATAACATAATTGATGAAATTACAGAATATAACCTAGGTTTTTTTAACTACATACATTGTAGATTCATGAGAATTTCTTAAACAATATTAGGTTTCTAAACAATGCTGAGTTTCTTTTACGTATACATGTTACTTACTTTATGATACATGTTAGTTTCATTGGATACATTTCATGATGATTGAAATTCAAAAGTATTTTTGCATTAACGTTGCACTGTAGAATTAGTAAAGAAAAAATAAAAAAAAAATTGTAATTTATATTCCAGATACTTTCATGACAACAAAACCAACACCCGATAAAGGTAGGTTTTCATTTTTGGGCTCAGCTCTTCATTATTATAAAGGGAGAAGTATAGAATAAGCATAACTTGATGAAATTACAGGTTATCCCCTAGTTTTTTTACTACATGTGCATTCTAGATTCAAATGTATTTCTTATATAATGTAAGGTTTCTAAACAATGCTGAGTTTTTTTTCTGATGTATACATGTAACACTTTATAATGCACACCAGTTAGTTTGATAAGTTTCATGATGATGGAAATTCAAAATATTTTGCATAATCTTTTCACAGTAGAATTAGAAAACGAAAAATGCAATATGTCAAATTTATTTTCAGATACTTTCACAACAACAAAACCAACACCTGATAAAGGTAGGTTTCCATTTTTAGGGCTAAGTTCGTCATTATGTTATATGGAGAAGAAAAGAATAGATGTATCATTGTGTTTTTTCTTTGCAAGCAAGTTACGTTTTGGTTGCTTGCCATATTCTAATAATGTCTTTATGGCAGAATTCATATTGTATGTCAGTAACATGGAAAATATTATTATATACAAGCTCTTGGGACATGAAAGCAGTCCTCCATTCTTTTTACATCTGCAGAATGTTTGTTGAAATAGAAATATAACTCATAAAAACATAGAAACATAGACTTAAGCTCATTTTAGGTATAAATCTAACGTATACTCTAACATGGTTAGTTACTAAAGTGGGAATTCAAAGTGTATTAAAATTGTAATACAATTTGAAGATCAAATAACCTGCAACTGAAAAATGCTCTTATTCACATATCGTTCCCATTCATCTACTTTAGCCTTAAATTTTATGATCATTTTGAATTCACTGTGCATTCTCACTTAAGTGAATAACCCTGTTAGACATAAGTTGAGACCCGTGAAGCTTGTCAATCTGCACTTGCTGCTCCTCAATATGTCAGCTTGGTAAGAATTCAGACATATATACAAGAATATTGCCTTTTGTTGATTCAATAGAAATTGCAAGTATTCCATTTGAAATTCTCTTTAAGAGTTGCACTTTCTATAGAATTTTGTTACATAAACACAATCACTTTTTATGACATATTCAGAAGAGAAAATAAAAAAAAAATCCAATATTGATCAAGGAATGGTAGATAATCTTCTCTCGCACTACTTCACTTTGATGTTATAATAAGACCAGTAGTAACACCAAGAAGACACATTAATACAATTGACCATAAATAATAAAAATGTAAAGGCATCCTCTATTTTCTTACTAAATATGCATGCTAGATTCATGAGAATTTCTTAAACAATATTAGGTTTCTAAACACTGCTGAGTTTTTTTATGTATACATGTTACTTAATTTATGATACACGTTCAAATTCACAGTTATTTAGCATTATCTTAACACTGTAGAATTAGTAAAGAAAAATTACAATATGTTTTTAATTTATATTTCAGATACTTTCACAACAACAAAACCAACACCCGATAAAGGTAGCTTTTCATTTTTGGGCTTAACTCTTCATGATTATTAAAGGGAGAAGTATAAAAAAAGCATAATTAATGAAATTACAGGATATCCCCTTGTTTTTATTTTTACTACATATGCATTCTAGATTCATGAGAATTTCTTACACAATATTAGGTTTCTAAGCACTGCTGAGTTTTTTTTTATTTATACATGTTACTTACTTTATGATACACGTACGTTTCATTGGATACATTTCATTACGAATGAAAATCAAAAGTATTTTGCATTAACGTTGCACTGTAGAATTAGTAAAGAAAAAATGCAATACGTTTTTAATTTATATTCCAGATACTTTCACGACAACAAAACTAACACCCGATAAAGGTAGGTTTTCATTTTTAGGCTCAGATCTTCATTATTATAAAGGGAGAAGAATAGAATAAGCATAATTGATGAAATTACAGGATATCCCCTAGTTTTTATTTTTTACTACATATGCATTCTAGATTCTTGAGAATCTCTTACACTATAATAGGTTTCAAAGCACTGCTGAGTTTTTTTTATGTATACATTTTACTTACTTTATGATACATGTTAGTTTCATTGGATACATTTCATGATGATTGAAATTCAAAAGTATTTTTGCATTAACGTTGCACTGTAGAATTAGTAATGAAAAAATAAAAAAAAAATTGTAATTTATATTCCAGATACTTTCATGACAACAAAACCAACACCCGATAAAGGTAGGTTTCCATTTTTGGGCTCAGCTCTTCATTATTATAAAGGGAGAAGAATAGAATAAGCATAACTTGATGAAATTACAGGTTATTTCCTAGTTTTTTTTTTACTACATGTGCATTCTAGATTCAAAAGTATTTCTTATATAATGTCTAAACAATGCTGAGTTTTTTTCTGATGTATTCATGTAACACTTTATAATGCACGCTGGTTTGTTTGATAAGTTTCATGATGATGGAAATTCAAAATATTTTGCATAATCTTTTCACTGTAGAATTAGAAAATGAAAAATGCAATATGTCTTAAATTTATTTTCAGATACTTTCACAACAACAAAACCAACACCCGATAAAGGTATATTTTCATTTTTGGTCTTAACTCTTCATTTTTATAAAGGGATAAATATAGAATAAGCATAATTGATGAAATTACAGGATATCTCCTAGTTTTTATTTTTACTACATATGCATTCTAGATTCTTGAGAATCTCATACACTATATTAGGTTTCTAAGCAATGCTGAGTTTTTTTATGTATACATTTTACTTACTTTATGATACATGTTAGTTTCATTGGAATACATTTCATGATGATTGAAATTCAAAAGCATTTTTTCATTAACGTTGCACTGTAGAATTAGTAAAGAAAAAATAAATTTAATTTATATTCCAGATACTTTCACGACAACACAACCAACACCCGATAAAGGTAGGTTTTCATTTTTGGGCTTAACTCTTCATGATTATGAAGGGAGAAGAATAGAATAAGCATAACTTGATGAAGTTACAGGTTATCCCCTAGTTTTTTTTACTACATGTGCATTCTAGATTCAAATGTATTTCTTATATAATCTAAGGTTTCTAAACACTGCTGAGTTTTTTTTATTTATACATGTTACTTACTTTATGATACACATTCGTTTCATTGGATACATTTCATGATGATTGAAATTCAAAAGTATTTTGCATTAACGTTGCACTGTAGAATTAGTAAAGAAAAAATGCAATACGTTTTTAATTTATATTCCAGATACTTTCACGACAACAAAACCAACACCCGATAAAGGTAGGTTTTCATTTTTAGGCTCAGATCTTCATTATTATAAAGGGAGAAGAATAGAATAAGCATAATTGATGAAATTACGGGATATCCCCTAGTTTTTATTTTTACTACATATGCATTCTAGATTCTTGAGAATCTCTTACACTATAATAGGTTTCTAAGCACTGCTGAGTTTTTTTTATGTATACATTTTACTTACTTTATGATACATGTTAGTTTCATTGGATACATTTCATGATGATTGAAATTCAAAAGTATTTTTGCATTAACGTTGCACTGTAGAATTAGTAATGAAAAAATTTAAAAAAAATTGTAATTTATATTCCAGATACTTTCATGACAACAAAACCAACACCCGATAAGGGTAGGTTTTCATTTTTTGGCTCAGCTCTTCATTATTATAAAGGGAGAAGAATAGAATAAGCATAACTTGATGAAATTACAGGTTATTTCCTAGTTTTTTTTTACTACATGTGCATTCTAGATTCAAAAGTATTTCTTATATAATGTCTAAACAATGCTGAGTTTTTTTCTGATGTATACATGTAGCACTTTATAATGCATGCTAGTTAGTTTGGTAAGTTTCATGATGATGGAAATTCAAAATATTTTGCATAATATTTTAACAGTAGAATTAGAAAACGAAAAATGCAATATGTCTTAAATTTATTTTCAGATACTTTCACAACAACAAAACCAACACCCGATAAAGGTAGGTTTTCATTTTTGGGCTCAGCTCTTCATTATTATAAAGGGAGAAGAACAGAATAAGCATAATTGATGAAATTACAGGATATCTCCTAGTTGTATTTTTACGACATATGCATTCTAGATTCATGAGAATTTCTTACACAATATTAGGTTTCTAAACACTGCTGAGTTTTTTTTATTTATACATTTTACTTACTATATGAAACATGTTAGTTTCATTGGATACATTTCATGATGATAGAAATTCAAATGTATTTTGCATTAATGTTGCACTGTAGAATTAGTAAAGAAAAAATAGAAAATGTTTTTAATTTATATTCCAGATACTTTCATGACAACAAAACCAACACCCGATAAAGGTAGGTTTTCATTTTTGGGCTCAGCTATTCATTATTATAAAGGGAGAAGAATAGAATAAGCATAATTGATGAAATTACAGGATTTCTCCTAGTTTTATTTTTACGACATATGCATTCTAGATTCATGAGAATTTCTTACACAATATTAGGTTTCTAAACACTGCTGAGTTTTTTTTATTTATACATTTTACTTACTATATGATACATGTTAGTTTCATTGGATACATTTCATGATGATTGAAATTCAAAAGTATTTTTGCATTAACGTGGCACTGTAGAATTAGTAAAGAAAAAATAAAAAAAAATTTTAATTTATATTCCAGATACTTTCACGACAACAAAACCAACACCCGATAAAGGTAGGTTTTCATTTTTGGGCTTATCTCTTCATGATTATGAAGGGAGAAGTATAGAATAAGCATAATTGATGAAATTACAGGATATCCCCTAGGTTTTATTTTTACTACATATGCATTCTAGATTCATGAGAATTTCTTACACAATATTAGGTTTCTAAACACTGCTGAGTTTTTTTTATTTATACATTTTACTTACTATATGATACATGTTAGTTTCATTGGATACATTTCATGATGATTGAAATTCAAAAGTATTTTTGCATTAACGTGGCACTGTATAATTAGTAAAGAAAGAATAAAAAATAAATTTAATTTATATTCCAGATACTTTCACGACAACACAACCAACACCCGATAAAGGTAGGTTTTCATTTTTGGGCTTAACTCTTCATAATTATGAAGGGAGAAGAATAGAATAAGCATAACTTGATGAAATTACAGGTTATTCCCGAGTTATTTTTACTACATGTGCATTCTAGATTCAAATGTATTTCTTATATAATCTAAGGTTTTTAAACAATGCTGAGTTTTTTTCTGATGTATACATGTAACACTTTATAATGCACGCTAGTTAGTTTGATAAGTTTCATGATGATGGAAATTCAAAATATTTTGCCTAATCTTTTCACAGTAGAATTAGAAAACGAAAAATGCAATATGTCTTAAATTTATTTTCAGATACTTTCACAACAACAAAACCAACACCCGATAAAGGTACGTTTTCATTTTTGGGCTTACCTCTTCATGATTTTAAAGGGAGAAGTATAGAATAAGCATAATTGATGAAATTACAGGATATCCCCTAGTTTTTATTTTTACTACATATGCATTCTAGATTCTTGAGAATCTCTTACACTATATTAGGTTTCTAAGCACTGCTGAGTTTTTTTATGTATACATTTTACTTACTTTATGATACATGTTAGTTTCATTGGATACATTTCATTAAGATTGAAATTCAAAAGTATTTTTGCATTAACGTTGCACTGTAGAATTAGTAAAGAAAAAATACAATTTTTTTATTTTATTTATATTCCAGATACTTTCACGACAACAAAACCAACACCCGATAAAGGTAGGTTTTCATTTTTGGGCTCAGCTGTTCATTATTATAAAGGGAGAAGAATAAAAAAAGCAAAATTGATGAAATTACAGTTTATCCCCTAGTTTTTTTTACTACATGTGCATTATAAAATCAAATGTATTTCTTATATAATCTAAGGTTTCTAAACAATGCTGAGTTTTTTTCTGATGTATACATGTAACACTTTATAATGCACGCTAGTTAGTTTGATAAGTTTCATGATGATGGAAATTCAAAATATTTTGCATAATCTTTTCACAGTAGAATTAGAAAACGAAAAATGCAATATGTCTTAAATTTATTTTCAGATACTTTCACAACAACAAAACCAACACCCGATAAAGGTAGGTTTTCATTTTTGGGCTTATCTCTTCATGATTATGAAGGGAGAAGAATAAAAAAAGCAAAATTGATGAAATTACAGGATATCCCCTTGTTTTTATTTTTACTTCATATGCATTCTAGATTCATGAGAATTTCTTACACAATATTAGGTTTCTAAACACTGCTGAGTTTTTTTATTTATACATGTTACTTACTTTATGATACACGTTCGTTTCATTGAATACATTTCATGATGATGGAAATTCAAAAGTATTTTGCATACTTTAGAATAAGTAAAGAAAAAATACAATATTTTTTTAATTTATATTCCAGATACTTTCATGACAACAAAATCAACACCCGATAAAGGTAGGTTTTCATTTTTGGGCTTATCTCTTCATGATTATGAAGGGAGAAGTATAGAATAAGCATAATTGATGAAATTACAGGATATCCCCTAGGTTTTATTTTTACTACATATGCATTCTAGATTCATGAGAATTTCTTACACTATATTAGGTTTCTTAACACTGCTGAGTTTTTTTATGTATACATGTTACTTACTTTATGATACATGTTAGTTTAATTGGATACATTTCATGATTATTGAAATTCAAAAGTATTTTTGCATTAACGTTGCACTGTAGAATTAGTAAAGAAAAAAAATAAATTAAATTTATATTCCAGATACTTTCACGACAACACAACCAACACCCGATAAAGGTAGGTTTTCATTTTTGGGCTCAACTCTTCATTATTATAAAGGGAGAAGAATAGAATAAGCATAACTTGATGAAATTACAGGTTATTTCCTAGTTTTTTTTACTACATGTGCATTCTAGATTCAAAAGTATTTCTTATATAATGTCTAAACGATGCTGAGTTTTTTTCTGATGTATTCATGTAACACTTTATAATGCACGCTGGTTTGTTTGATACGTTTCATGATGATGGAAATTCAAAATATTTTGCATAATCTTTTCACTGTAGAATTAGAAAACGAAAAATGCAATTTGTCTTACATTTATTTTCAGATACTTACACAACAACAAAACCAACACCCGATAAAGGTAGCTTTTCATTTTTGGGCTTAACTATTCACGATTATAAAGGGAGAAGTATAGAATAAGCATAATTGATGAAATTACAAGATATCCCCTAGTTTTTATTTTTACTATATGCATTCTAGATTCATGAGAATTTCTTACACAATATTAGGTTTCTAAGCACTGCTGAGTTTTTTTATGAATACATTTTACTTAGTTTATGAAACATGTTAGTTTCATTGGATACATTTCATGATGATTAAAATTCAAAAGTATTTTGCATTAACGTTGCACTGTAGAATTAGTAAAGAAAAAATACATTATGTTTTTAATTTATATTCCAGATACTTTCACGACAACAAAACCAACACCCGATAAAGGTAGGTTTTCATTTTTGGGCTTAACTCTTCATGATTTTAAAGGGAGAAGAATAGAAAAAGCATAATTGATGAAATTACAGGATATACCCTCGTTTTTATTTTTACTACATATGCATTCTAGATTCATGAGAATTTCTTACACAATGTTAGGTTTCTAAACACTGCTGAGTTTTTTTTATGTATACATGTTACTTACTTTATGATACATGTTAGTTTCATTGGATACATTTCATGATGATGGAAATTCAAAAGTATTTTGCATTAACGGTACACTGTAGAATTAGTAAAGAAAAAATACAATATGTTTTTAATTTATATTCCAGATATACCAACACCCGATAAAGGTAGGTTTTCATTTTTGGGCTCAGCTCTTCATTATTATAAAAGGAGAAGAATAGAATAAGCATAACTTGATGAAATTACAGGTTATCCCCTAGTTTTTTTTACTACATGTGCATTCTAGATTCAAATGTATTTCTTATATAATCAAAGGTTTCTAAACAATGCTGAGTTTTTTTCTGATGTATACATGTAACACATTATAATGCACGCTAGTTAGTTTGATAAGTTTCATGATGATGGAAATTCAAAATATTTTGCATAATCTTTTCACAGTAGAATTAGAAAATGAAAAATGCAATATGTCTTAAATTTATTTTCAGATACTTTCACAACAACAAAACCAACACCCGATAAAGGTAGGTTTTCATTTTTGGGCTCAGCTCTTCATTATTATAAAGGGATAAATATAGAATAAGCATAATTGATGAAACTACAGGATATCTCCTAGTTTTTATTTTTACTACATGTACATTCTAGATTCATGAAAATTTCTTACACAATATTGGTTTATAAACACTGCTGAGTTTTCTATATTTATACATGTTACTTACTTTATGATACACGTTAGTTTCATTGGATACATTTCATGATGATGGAAATTCAAAAGTATTTTGCATTAATGTTGCACTGTAGAATTAGTAAAGAAAAAATAGAAAATGTTTTTAATTTATATTCCAGATACTTTCACGACAACAAAACCAACACCCGATAAAGGTAGGTTTTCATTTTTGGGCTCAGCTCTTCATTATTATAAAGGGAGAAGAATAGAATAAGCATAACTTGATGAAATTACAGGTTATTTCCTAGTTTTTTTTACTACATGTGCATTCGAGATTCAAAAGTATTTCTTATATAATGTCTAAACAATGCTGAATTTTTTTCTGATGTATTCATGTAACACTTTATAATGCAGGCTGGTTTGTTTGATACGTTTCATGATGATGGAAATTCAAAATATTTTGCATAATCTTTTCACTGTAGAATTAGAAAACGAAAAATGCAATATGTCTTAAATTTATTTTCAGATACTTTCACAACAACAAAACCAACACCCGATAAAGGTACGTTTTCATTTTTGGGCTTACCTCTTCATGATTTTAAAGGGAGAAGTATAGAATAAGCATAATTGATGAAATTACAGGATATCCCCTAGTTTTTATTTTTACTACATATGCATTCTAGATTCTTGAGAATCTCTTACACTATATTAGGTTTCTAAGCACTGCTGAGTTTTTTTTATGTATACATGTTACTTACTTTATGATACATGTTAGTTTCATTGGATACATTTCATGATGATAGAAATTCAAATGTATTTTGCATTAATGTTGCACTGTAGAATTAGTAAAGAAAAAATAGAAAATGTTTTTAATTTATATTCCAGATACTTTCATGACAACAAAACCAACACCCGATAAAGGTAGGTTTTCATTTTTGGGCTCAGCTATTCATTATTATAAAGGGAGAAGAATAGAATAAGCATAATTGATGAAATTACAGGATTTCTCCTAGTTTTATTTTTACGACATATGCATTCTAGATTCATGAGAATTTCTTACACAATATTAGGTTTCTAAACACTGCTGAGTTTTTTTTATTTATACATGTTACTTACTTTATGATACACGTTCGTTTCATTGGAAACATTTCATGATGATTGAAATTCAAAAGTATTTTGCATTAACATTACACTGTAGAATTAGTAAAGAAAAAATGCAATATGTTTTTAATTTATATTCCAGATACTTTCACAACAACAAAACCAACACCCGATAAAGGTAGGTTTTCATTTTTGGGCTCAGCTCTTCATTATTATAAAGAGAGAAGAATAGAATAAGCATAACTTGATGAAATTACAGGTTATTTCCTAGTTTCTTTTACTACATGTGAATTCTAGATTCAAAAGTAATTCTTATATAATGTCTAAACAATGCTGAGTTTTTTTCTGATGTATTCATGTAACACTTTATAATGCACACTGGTTTGTTTGATACGTTTCATGATGATGGAAATTCATAATATTTTGCATAATCTTTTCACTGTAGAATTAGAAAACGAAAAATGCAATATGTCTTACATTTATTTTCAGATACTTTCACAACAACAAAACCAACACCCGATAAAGGTACGTTTTCATTTTTGGGCTTACCTCTTCATGATTTTAAAGGGAGAAGTATAGAATAAGCATAATTGATGAAATTACAGGATATCCCCTAGTTTTTATTTTTACTACATATGCATTCTAGATTCTTGAGAATCTCTTACACTATATTAGGTTTCTAAGCACTGCTGAGTTTTTTTTATATATACATGCTACTTACTTTATGATACATGTTAGTTTCATTGGATACATTTCATGATGATTAAAATTCAAAAGTAGTTTGCATTAACGTTGCACTGTAGAATTAGTAAAGAAAAAATACATTATGTCTTAAATTTATTTTCAGATACTTTCACGACAACAAAACCAACACCCGATAAGGGTAGGTTTTCATTTTTGGGCTTATCTCTTCATGATTATGAAGGGAGAAGTATAGAATAAGCATAATTGATGAAATTACAGGATATCCCCTAGTTTTTATTTTTACTACATATGCATTCTAGATTCTTGAGAATCTCTTACACTATATTAGGTTTCTAAGCACTGCTGAGTTTTTTTTATATATACATGTTACTTACTTTATGATACATGTTAGTTTCATTGGATACATTTCATGATGATTAAAATTCAAAAGTATTTTGCATTAACATTACACTGTAGAATTAGTAAAGAAAAAATGCAATATGTTTTTAATTTATATTCCAGATACTTTCACAACAACAAAACCAACACCCGATAAAGGTAGGTTTTCATTTTTGGGCTCAGCTCTTCATTATTATAAAGGGAGAAGAATAGAATAAGCATAACTTGATGAAATTACAGGTTATTTCCTAGTTTTTTTTACTACATGTGCATTCTAGATTCAAAAGTATTTCTTATATAATGTCTAAACGATGCTGAGTTTTTTTCTGATGTATTCATGTAACACTTTATAATGCACGCTGGTTTGTTTGATACGTTTCATGATGATGGAAATTCAAAATATTTTGCATAATCTTTTCACTGTAGAATTAGAAAACGAAAAATGCAATTTGTCTTACATTTATTTTCAGATACTTACACAACAACAAAACCAACACCCGATAAAGGTAGCTTTTCATTTTTGGGCTTAACTATTCACGATTATAAAGGTAGAAGTATAGAATAAGCATAATTGATGAAATTACAAGATATCCCCTAGTTTTTATTTTTACTATATGCATTCTAGATTCATGAGAATTTCTTACACAATATTAGGTTTCTAAGCACTGCTGAGTTTTTTTATGAATACATTTTATTTAGTTTATGAAACATGTTAGTTTCATTGGATACATTTCATGATGATTAAAATTCAAAAGTATTTTGCATTAACGTTGCACTGTAGAATTAGTAAAGAAAAAATACATTATGTTTTTAATTTATATTCCAGATACTTTCACGACAACAAAACCAACACCCGATAAAGGTAGGTTTTCATTTTTGGGCTTAACTCTTCATGATTTTAAAGGGAGAAGAATAGAAAAAGCATAATTGATGAAATTACAGGATATACCCTCGTTTTTATTTTTACTACATATGCATTCTAGATTCTTGAGAATCTCTTACACTATAATAGGTTTCTAAGCACTGCTGAGTTTTTTTTATGTATACATTTTACTTACTTTATGATACATGTTAGTTTCATTGGATACATTTCATGATGATTGAAATTCAAAAGTATTTTTGCATTAACGTTGCACTGTAGAATTAGTAAAGAAAAAATACAATTTTTTTTAAAATTTATATTCCAGATACTTTCACGACAACAAAACCAACACCCGATAAAGGTAGGTTTTCATTTTTGGGCTTAGCTCTTCATTATTATAAAGGGAGAAGTATAGAATAAGCATAATTGATGAAATTACAGGATATCCCCTAGTTTTTATTTTTATTACATATGCATTCTAGATTCATGAGAATTTCTTACACAATGTTAGGTTTCTAAACACTGCTGAGTTTTTTTTATGTATACATGTTACTTACTTTATGATACATGTTAGTTTCATTGGATACATTTCATGATGATGGAAATTCAAAAGTATTTTGCATTAACGGTACACTGTAGAATTAGTAAAGAAAAAATACAATATGTTTTTAATTTATATTCCAGATTTACCAACACCCGATAAAGGTAGGTTTTCATTTTTGGGCTCAGCTCTTCATTATTATAAAAGGAGAAGAATAGAATAAGCATAACTTGATGAAATTACAGGTTATCCCCTAGTTTTTTTTACTACATGTGCATTCTAGATTCAAATGTATTTCTTATATAATCAAAGGTTTCTAAACAATGCTGAGTTTTTTTCTGATGTATACATGTAACACATTATAATGCACGCTAGTTAGTTTGATAAGTTTCATGATGATGGAAATTCAAAATATTTTGCATAATCTTTTCACAGTAGAATTAGAAAATGAAAAATGCAATATGTCTTAAATTTATTTTCAGATACTTTCACAACAACAAAACCAACACCCGATAAAGGTAGGTTTTCATTTTTGGGCTCAGCTCTTCATTATTATAAAGGGATAAATATAGAATAAGCATAATTGATGAAACTACAGGATATCTCCTAGTTTTTATTTTTACTACATGTACATTCTAGATTCATGAAAATTTCTTACACAATATTGGTTTATAAACACTGCTGAGTTTTCTATATTTATACATGTTACTTACTTTATGATACACGTTAGTTTCATTGGATACATTTCATGATGATGGAAATTCAAAAGTATTTTGCATTAACGCTGTACTGTAGAATTAGTAAAGAAAAATACAATATGTTTTTAATTTATATTCCAGATACTTTCACGACAACAAAACCAACACCCGATAAAGGTAGGTTTTCATTTTTGGGCTCAGCTCTTCATTATTATAAAGGGAGAATAATAGAATAAGCATAACTTGATGAAATTACAGGTTATCCCCTAGTTTTTTTTACTACATGTGCATTCTAGATTCAAATGTATTTCTTATATAATCTAAGGTTTCTAAACAATGCTGAGTTTTTTTCTGATGTATACATGTAACACTTTATAATGCACGTTACTAAGTTTGATAAGTTTCATGATGATGGAAATTCAAAATATTTTGCATAATCTTTTCACAGTAGAATTAGAAAACGAAAAATGCAATATATCTTAAATTTATTTTCAGATACTTTCACAACAACAATACCAACACCCGATAAAGGTAGGTTTTCATTTTTGGGCTTAACTCTTCATTATTATAAAGGGATAAGTATAGAATAAGCATAATTTATGAAATTATACGATATCTCCTAGTTTTTATTTTTACTACATATGCATTCTAGATTCATGAAAATTTCTTACACAATATTAGGTTTCTAAACACTGCTGAGTTTATTTATTTGGTCCATGCTACTACTTTATGGATACACGCTCGCTTCTATTGATACATTTATGATGATTGAAATCTCTATTTTTTGCATTAACGTTGCACTGAAGAATAAGTAAAGAAAAAATGCAATATATGTTTTTAATTTATATTCAGATACTACTAATAAATAAACCAACACCCGATAAAGGTAGGTTTTCATTTTTGGGCTTAACTCTTCATGATTATAAAGGGAGAAGTATACGATAAGCATAATTGATGAAATTACAGGATATCCCCTAGTTTTTATTTTTCTACATATGCATTCTAGATTCATGAGAATTTCTTACACTATATTAGGTTTCTAAACACTGCTGAGTTTTTTTTATGTATACATGTTACTTACTTTATGATACATGTTAGTTTCATTGGATAAATTTCATGATGATAGAAATTCAAAAGTATTTTGCATTAACGATACACTTTAGAATTAGTAAAGAAAAAATAGAAAATATTTTTAATTTATATTCCAGATACTTTCATGACAACAAAACCAACACCCGATAAAGGTAGGTTTTCATTTTTGGGCTCAGCTATTCATTATTATAAAGGGAGAAGAATAGAATAAGCATAATTGATGAAATTACAGGATTTCTCCTAGTTTTATTTTTACGACATATGCATTCTAGATTCATGAGAATTTCTTACACAATATTAGGTTTCTAAACACTGCTGAGTTTTTTTTATTTATACATGTTACTTACTTTATGATACACGTTCGTTTCATTGGAAACATTTCATGATGTTTGAAATTCAAAAGTATTTTGCATTAACATTACACTGTAGAATTAGAAAAGAAAAAATACAATATGTTTTTAATTTATATTCCAGATACTTTCACGACAACAAAACCAACACCCGATAAAGGTAGGTTTTCATTTTTGGGCTCAGCTCTTCATTATTATAAAGGGAGAAGAATAGAGTAAGCATAATTGATGAAATTACAGGATATCCCCTAGTTTTATTTTTAAGACGCATTCTAGATTCATGAGAATTTCTTACACAATATTAGGTTTCTAAACACTGCTGAGTTTTTTTTATTTATACATGTTACTTACTTTATGATACACGTTCGTTTCACTGGATACATTTCATGATGATTGAAATTCTAAAGTATATTTCATTAACATTACACTGTAGAATTAGTAAAGAAAAAATGCAATATGTTTTTAATTTATATTCCAGATACTTTCACGACAACAAAACCAACACCCGATAAAGGTAGGTTTTCATTTTTGGGCTCAGCTCTTCATTATTATAAAGGGAGAAGAATAGAATAAGCATAACTTGATGAAATTACAGGTTATTTCCTAGTTTTTTTTACTACATGTGCATTCTAGATTCAAAAGTATTTCTTATATAATGTCTAAACGATGCTGAGTTTTTTTCTGATGTATTCATGTAACACTTTATAATGCACGCTGGTTTGTTTGATACGTTTCATGATGATGGAAATTCAAAATATTTTGCATAATCTTTTCACTGTAGAATTAGAAAAGGAAAAATGCAATATGTCTTACATTTATTTTCAGATACTTTCGCAACAACAAAACCAACACCCGATAAAGGTAGCTTTTCATTTTTGGGCTTAACTCTTCATGATTATAAAGGGAGAAGTATAGAATAAGCATAATTGATGAAATTACAGGATATCCCCTAGTTTTTATTTTTACTATATGCATTCTAGATTCATGAGAATTTTTTACACAATATTAGGTTTCTAAGCACTGCTGAGTTTTTTTATGAATACATTTTACTTACTTTATGAAACATGTTAGTTTCATTGGATACATTTCATGATGATTAAAATTCTAAAGTATTTTGCATTAACGTTGCACTGTAGAATTTGTAAAGAAAAAATACATTATGTTTTTAATTTATATTCCAGATACTTTCATGACAACAAAACCAACACCCAATAAAGGTAGGTTTTCATTTTTGGGCTTAACTCTTCATGATTATGAAGGGAGAAGTATAGAATAAGCATAATTGATGAAATTACAGGATATCCCCTAGTTTTTATTTTTACTACATATGCATTCTAGATTCTTGAGAATCTCTTACACTATATTACGTTTCTAAGCACTGCTGAGTTTTTTTATGTATACATGTTACTTACTTTATGATACATGTTAGTTTCATTGGATACATTTCATGATGATAGAAATTCAAATGTATTTTGCATTAATGTTGCACTGTAGAATTAGTAAAGAAAAAATAGAAAATGTTTTTAATTTCTATTCCAGATACTTTCATGACAACAAAACCAACACCCGATAAAGGTAGGTTTTCATTTTTGGGCTCAGCTATTCATTATTATAAAGGGAGAAGAATAGAATAAGCATAATTGATGAAATTACAGGATTTCTCCTAGTTTTATTTTTACGACATATGCATTCTAGATTCATGAGAATTTCTTACACAATATTATGTTTCTAAACACTGCTGAGTTTTTTTATTTATACATGTTACTTACTTTATGATACACGTTCGTTTCATTGGAAACATTTCATGATGATTGAAATTCAAAAGTATTTTGCATTAACATTACACTGTAGAATTAGTAAAGAAAAAATGCAATATGTTTTTAATTTATATTCCAGATACTTTCACAACAACAAAACCAACACCCGATAAAGGTAGGTTTTCATTTTTGGGCTCAGCTCTTCATTATTATAAAGAGAGAAGAATAGAATAAGCATAACTTGATGAAATTACAGGTTATTTCCTAGTTTTTTTTACTACATGTGAATTCTAGATTCAAAAGTAATTCTTATATAATGTCTAAACAATGCTGAGTTTTTTTCTGATGTATTCATGTAACACTTTGTAATGCACGCTGGTTTGTTTGATACGTTTCATGATGATGGAAATTCAAAATATTTTGCATAATCTTTTCACTGTAGAATTAGAAAACGAAAAATGCAATATGTCTTACATTTATTTTCAGATACTTTCACAACAACAAAACCAACACCCGATAAAGGTAGCTTTTCATTTTTGGGCTTAACTCTTCATGATTTTAAAGGGAGAAGTATAGAATAAGCATAATTAATGAAATTACAGGATATCCCCTAGTTTTTATTTTTACTACATATGCATTCTAGATTCATGAGAATTTCTTACACTATATTAGGTTTCTAAACACTGCTGAGTTTTTTTTATATATACATGTTACTTACTTTATGATACATGTTAGTTTCATTGGATACATTTCATGATGATAGAAATTCAAAAGTATTTTGCATTAACGTTGCATTGTAGAATTAGTAAAGAAAAAATACAATATGTTTTTAATTTATATTCCAGATACTTTCACGACAAAAAAACCAACACCCGATAAAGGTAGGTTTTCATTTTTGGGCTCAGCTCTTCATTATTATAAAGGGAGAAGAATGGAATAAGCATAATTGATGAAATTACAGGATATCTCCTAGTTTTACTTTTACGACATATGCATTTTAGATTCAAAAGTATTTCTTATATAATGTAAGGTTTCTAAACAATGCTGAGTTTTTTTCTGATGTATACATGTAACACTTTATAATGCACGCTGGTTTGTATGAAACGTTTCATGATGATGGAAATTCAAAATATTTTGCTTAATCTTTTCACTGTAGAATTAGAAAACAAAAAATGCAATATGTCTTAAATTTATTTTCAGATACTTTCACAACAACAAAACCAACACCCGATAAAGGTAGATTTTCATTTTTGGGCTTAACTCTTTATTATTATAAAGGGATAAGCATAGAATAAGCATAATTGATGAAATTACAGGATATCTCCTAGTTTTATTTTGACGAAATATGCATTCTAGATTCATGAGAATTTCTTACACAATATTAGGTTTCTAAACACTGCTGAGTTTTATTTATTTATCCATGCTACTTACTTTATGATACACGTTCGTTTCATTGGATACATTTCATGATGATTGAAATTCAAAAGTATTTTGCATTAACGTTGCACTGAAGAATAAGTAAAGAAAAAATGCAATATGTTTTTAATTTATATTCCAGATACTTTCACGACAACAAAACCAACACCCGATAAAGGTAGGTTTTCATTTTTGGGCTTAACTCTTCATGATTATAAAGGGAGAAGTATACGATAAGCATAATTGATGAAATTACAGGATATCCCCTAGTTTTTATTTTTCTACATATGCATTCTAGATTCATGAGAATTTCTTACACTATATTAGGTTTCTAAACACTGCTGAGTTTTTTTTATGTATACATGTTACTTACTTTATGATACATGTTAGTTTCATTGGATAAATTTCATGATGATAGAAATTCAAAAGTATTTTGCATTAACGATACACTTTAGAATTAGTAAAGAAAAAATAGAAAATATTTTTAATTTATATTCCAGATACTTTCATGACAACAAAACCAACACCCGATAAAGGTAGGTTTTCATTTTTGGGCTCAGCTATTCATTATTATAAAGGGAGAAGAATAGAATAAGCATAATTGATGAAATTACAGGATTTCTCCTAGTTTTATTTTTACGACATATGCATTCTAGATTCATGAGAATTTCTTACACAATATTAGGTTTCTAAACACTGCTGAGTTTTTTTTATTTATACATGTTACTTACTTTATGATACACGTTCGTTTCATTGGATACATTTCATGATGATTGAAATTCTAAAGTATATTGCATTAACATTACACTGTAGAATTAGTAAAGAAAAAATGCAATATGTTTTTAATTTATATTCCAGATACTTTCATGACAACAAAACCAACACCCGATAAAGGTAGGTTTTCATTTTTGGGCTCAGCTCTTCATTATTATAAAGGGAGAAGAATAGAATAAGCATAACTTGATGAAATTACAGGTTATTTCCTAGTTTTTTTTACTACATGTGCATTCTAGATTCAAAAGTATTTCTTATATAATGTCTAAACGATGCTGAGTTTTTTTCTGATGTATTCATGTAACACTTTATAATGCACGCTTGTTTGTTTGATACGTTTCATGATGATGGAAATTCAAAATATTTTGCATAATCTTTTCACTGTAGAATTAGAAAACGAAAATGCAATATGTCTTACATTTATTTTCAGATACTTTCACAACAACAAAACCAACACCCGATAAAGGTAGCTTTTCATTTTTGGGCTTAACTCTTCATGATTATAAAGGGAGAAGTATAGAATAAGCCTAATTGATGAAATTACAGGATATCCCCTAGTTTTTATTTTTACTATATGCATTCTAGATTCATGAGAATTTCTTACACAATATTAGGTTTCTAAGCACTGCTGAGTTTTTTTATGAATACATTTTACTTACTTTATGAAACATGTTAGTTTCATTGGATACATTTCATGATGATTAAAATTCAAAAGTATTTTGCATTAACGTTGCACTGTAGAATTAGTAAAGAAAAAATACAATTTTTTTTAAAATTTATATTCCAGATACTTTCACGACAACAAAACCAACACCCGATAAAGGTAGGTTTTCATTTTTGGGCTCAGCTCTTCATTATTATAAAGGGAGAAGAATAGAATAAGCATAATTTGATGAAATTACAGGTTATCCCCTAGTTTTTTTTACAACATGTGCATTCTAGATTCAAATGTATTTCTTATATAATCAAAGGTTTCTAAACAATGCTGAGTTTTTTTCTGATGTATACATGTAATACATTATAATGCACGCTAGTTAGTTTGATAAGTTTCATGATGATGGAAATTCAAAATATTTTGCATAATCTTTTCACAGTAGAATTAGAAAATGAAAAATGCAATATGTCTTAAATTTATTTTCAGATACTTTCACAACAACAAAACCAACACCCGATAAAGGTAGGTTTTCATTTTTGGGCTTAACTCTTCATTATTGTAAAGGGATAAATATAGAATAAGCATAATTGATGAAACTACAGGATATCTCCTAGTTTTTATTTTTACTACATATACATTCTAGATTCATGAAAATTTCTTACACAATATTGGTTTATAAACACTGCTGAGTTTTCTATATTTATACATGTTACTTACTTTATGATACACGTTAGTTTCATTGGATACATTTCATGATGATGGAAATTCAAAAGTATTTTGCATTAATGTTGCACTGTAGAATTAGTAAAGAAAAAATAGAAAATGTTTTTAATTTATATTCCAGATACTTTCACGACAACAAAACTAACACCCGATAAAGGTAGGTTTTCATTTTTGGGCTCAGCTCTTCATTATTATAAAGGGAGAAGAATAGAATAAGCATAACTTGATGAAATTACAGGTTATCCCCTAGTTTTTTTTACTACATGTGCATTCTAGATTCAAATGTATTTCTTATATAATCAAAGGTTTCTAAACAATGCTGAGTTTTTTTCTGATGTATACATGTAACACATTATAATGCACGCTAGTTAGTTTGATACGTTTCATGATGATGGAAATTCAAAATATTTTGCATAATCTTTTCACTGTAGAATTAGAAAACGAAAAATGCAATATGTCTTACATTTATTTTCAGATACTTTCACAACAACAAAACCAACACCCGATAAAGGTAGCTTTTCATTTTTGGGCTTACCTCTTCATGATTTTAAAGGGAGAAGTATAGAATAAGCATAATTGATGAAATTACAGGATATCCCCATGTTTTTATTTTTACTACATATGCATTCTAGATTCTTGAGAATCTCTTACACTATATTAGGTTTCTAAGCACTGCTGAGTTTTTTTTCATATATACATGTTACTTACTTTACGATACATGTTAGTTTCATTGGATACATTTCATGATGATTAAAATTCAAAAGCATTTTGCATTAACGTTGCACTGTAGAATTAGTAAAGAAAAAATAAATTATGTTTTTAATTTATATTCCAGATACTTTCACGACAACAAAACCAACACCCGAGAAAGGTAGGTTTTCATTTTTGGGCTTAACTCTTCATGATTATAATGGGAGAAGTATAGAATAAGCATAATTGATGAAATTACAGGATATCCCCTAGTTTTTATATTTACTACATATGCATTCTAGATTCATGAGAATTTCTTACACAATATTAGTTTTTTTTATGAATACATGTTAATTACTGTATATTACATGTTAGTTTCATCCGATACATTTCATGATGATGCAAATTCAAAAGTATTTTGCATTAACGGTACACTGTAGAATTAGTAAAGAAAAAATAGAAAATGTTTTTAATTTATATTCCAGATACTTTCACGACAACAAAACCAACACCTGATAAAGGTAGGTTTTCATTTTTGGGCTCAGCTCTTCATTATTATGAAGTGAGAAGAATAGTGATGCACCGAACGGTTCGCTGGCGAACAGTTCCCAGCGAACATAGCGTGTTCGCGTCCGCCGCGGATGGCGAACGCATGCGCGGTTCGATCCTCCCCCTATTCGTCATCATTGGGTAAACTTTGACCCTGTACCTCACAGTCAGCAGACACATTCCAGCCAATTAGCAGCACACCCTCCCTAGCAGACCCTCCATCCTACTGAAAGGCATCCATTTTACATTCATTCTCAAGCTGCATGCTTAGTGACAGGAGGGAAAGTGTAGCTGCTGTTGATTAGATAGGGAAATGCATAGCTAGGTTAGGGTTAGGGTATGCTTTTTTTTTTTGTTTTTTTTTTGTTTAATGTAATTGCAGTTAGTTGTTTGCCACTGCTGCCAGCTTCTGTGTCAGGCTCACAGTGGATACTGTGCCCATTTGCACAGTCAGTGCCACCACTCATATCTGGTGTCACAATAACTTGCATTTAAAAACAAAAAAACTTTTTTCACTGTTATAGATTGAATAGCAGTCAGTTGTCTGCCACTGCTGCCAGCTTCTGTGTCAGGCTCACAGTGAATACTGTGCCCATTTGCCCAGTCAGTGCCACCACTCATATCTGGTGTCACAATAGCTTGCATTTAAAAGCAAAAAACTTTTTTCACTGTTATAGATTGAATAGCAGTTAGTTGTCTTCCACTGCTGCCAGCTTCTGTGTCAGGCTCACAGTGGATACTGTGCCCATTTGCCCAGTCAGTGCCACCACTCATATCTGGTGTCACAATAGCTTGCATTTAAAAACAAAAAACTTTTTTCACTGTTATAGATTGAATAGCCGTCAGTGTCCTTAAAGCGGGTGTGTTACGCTAACAGTGGATACGCTGACAAGTGCCACTAATTAGATCTGGTGTCACAATAGTTTGGATTTAAAAAAAAAATAATCTTTTTTCACTGTTATAGATTGAATAGCAGTCAGTGTCCTTAAGCGGGTGTGTTACGCTAACAGTGGATACGCTGACAAGTGCCACTAATTAGATCTGGTGTCACAATAGTTTGGATTTAAAAAAAAAATAATCTTTTTTCACTGTTATAGATTGAATAGCAGTCGGTGTCCTTAAAGCGGGTGTGTTACGCTAACAGTGGATACGGTGACCAGTGCCACCACTTAGATCTGGTGACACAAAGCTTGGATTTAAAAACAAAAAACTTTTTTCACTGTTATAGATTGAATAGCAGTTAGTTATCTTCAAGCAGGTGTGTTACGCTAACAGTGGATACGGTTACCAGTGCCACCACTTAGATCTGGTGACACAAAGCTTGGATTTAAAAACAAAAAACTTTTTTCTCTGTTATAGATTGAATAGCAGTCAGTGTCCTTAAAGCGGGTGTGTTACTCTAACAGTGGATACGGTGCCCAGTGCCACCACTCATATCTGGTGTCACAATAACTTGCATTTAAAAACAAAAAACTTTTTTCACTGTTATAGATTGAATAGCAGTCAGTGTCCTTAAAGCGGTGTGTTAAGCTCACAGTGGATACGGTGCCCAGTGCCACCACTCACTGGTGTCACAATAGCTTGCATTTAAAAACAAAAAACTTTTTTCACTGTTATAGATTGAATAGCAGTTAGTTGTCTGACACTGCTGCCAACTTCTGTGTCAGGCTCACAGTGGATACTGTGCCCATTTGCCCAGTCAGTGCCACCACTCATATCTGGTATCACAATAGCTTGCATTTAAAAACAAAAAACTTTTTTCACTGTTATAGATTGAATAGCAGTCAATTGTCTGCCACTGCTGCCAGCTTCTGTGTCAGGCTCACAGTGCATACTGTGCCCATTTCCCCAGTCAGTGCCACCACTTACATCTGGTGTCACAATAGCTTGGATTTAAAAATAAAAAACTTTTTTCACTGTTATAGATTGAATAGCAGTCAGTTGTCTGCCACTGCTGCCAGCTTCTGTGTCAGGCTCACAGTGCATACTGTGCCCATTTCCCCAGTCAGTGCCACCAATTACATCTGGTGTCACAATAGCTTGGATTTAAAAACAAAAAACTTTTTCACTGTTATAGATTGAATAGCAGTCAGGTGTCTGCCACTGCTGCCAGCTTCTGTGTCAGGCTCACAGTGCATACTGTGCCCATTTCCCCAGTCAGTGCCACCACTTACATCTGGTGTCACAATAGCTTGGATTTAAAAACAAAAAGCTTTTTTCACTGTTATAGATTGAATAGCAGTCAGTGTCCTTAAAGCGGGTGTGTTACGCTAACAGTGGATACGGTGCCCAGTGCCACCACTCACTGGTGTCACAATAGCTTGCATTTAAAAACAAAAAACTTATTTCACTGTTATAGATTGAATAGCAGTCAGTGTCCTTAAAGCGGGTGTGTCAGGCTCACAGTGGATACGGTGCCCATTTGCCCAGTCAGTGCCACCACTCACTCATATCTGGTGTCACAATAGCTTGCATTTAAAAACAAAAAACTTTTTTCACTGTTATAGATTGAATAGCCGTCAGTGTCCTTAAAGCGGGTGTGTCAGGCTCACAGTGGATACGGTGCGCAGTGCCACCACTCACTCATATCTGGTGTCACAATAGCTTGCATTTAAAAACAAAAAACTTTTTTCACTGTTATAGATTGAATAACAGTCAGTGTCCTTCAAGCGGCTGTGTCAGGCCTACAGCCTGTGCCCTGCACAACTGTGCCAGTGCACATTGCCACTCATATCTGGTCTCACAGTAGCTTGCACGCATAGTACCACTAATCCCCCCAAAAATGACAGGCAGAGGCAGGCCACCCCGCAGGGGCCTTCGTGGTCGTGGTGCTGTGATTCCCTTTGGCCCTAGAATAATGCCCAGTTTTCAGAGGCCACGTACCCTGAACTTGAAAAGTTCTGAGGACATAGTTGACATAGTTGACTGGCTAACACCCAATCTTCTACAGCCTCCGCTCAGAACCTTTACGCACCATCCTCCTCCAGCTTAGCTTCAGGCACCTCTCAAGATACCACTCACCCGCCTGCCGCCACCACCAAAACTAGCACCACAGCCGCTTCACTTGGTATGTCAGAGGAGTTATTTACACATCCGTTTGAAGAAATGAGTGATGCGCAACCATTATTGCCAGAGGATGTAGATAACAGGGATATGTCTCAGGCAGGCAGCATTACACACATGGACGTACGGTGTGATGATGATGATGATGTTGTACCAGCTGCTGCTTCCTTTGCTGAGTTGTCAGATACAAGTGAAACGGTTGATGATGACGATGCGTCCATGGATGTCACGTGGGTGCCCGCTCGTCAAGAAGAAGAACAGGGTGAAAGTTCAGATGGGGAGACAGGGAGGAGGAGGAGAAGAGTTGGAAGCAGGGGGAGGTCGTCGCAAGGAGCTAGTGGCACAGTCAGACAGCATGCATCGACACCCGGGGTCAGCCCGACAGCACGCCAATCAGCGCATGCTGTGTCCACCACCAGAATGCCGTCATTGCAGAGCTCAGCAGTGTGGAATTTTTTTTGTGTGTCTGCCTCTGACAACAGCGATGCCATTTGCAACCTGTGCCAAAAGAAACTGAGTGGTGGGAAGTCCAACACCCACCTAGGTACAACTGCTTTGCGTAAGCACATGATCTCACATCACAAACGCCTATGGGATCAACACATGAGTACAAGCAGCACGCCTACTCTAAGCCGCCATCCTCCTCCTGGTCCAGCATCTTCAGCCACGTCAACTACTGCTGTCCTCCTTGCCCCCTCTCAACCATCCGCCACTCCGTCTCCCGCCTTGAGCAGTTCCTGCTCATCTGCCCACAGTCATGTGTCTGTCAAGGACATGTTTGAGCGTAAGAAGCCAATGTCAGAAAGTCACCCCCTTGCCCAGCGTCTGACTGCTGGCTTGTCCGAACTATTAGCCCGCCAGCTTTTACCATACAAGCTGGTGGAGTCTGAGGCGTTCCAAAAATTTGTAGCTATTGGGACACCGCAGTGGAAGGTACTCGGCCAAAATTTCTTTTCACAAAAGGCAATCCCCAACCTGTACTCGATTGTGCAAAAGGAAGTAATAGCATGTCTGGCACACAGTGTTGGGGCAAGGGACCTTCTGACCACTGATACTTGGTCTGCAAAGCATGGTCAGGGCAGGTATATCACCTACACTGCGCATTGGGTAAACCTGCTGACTGCAGCCAAGCATGGAATGCATGGCTCTGCAGAGGAGTT